AAAATAGGCATTATTGCCATAATTGAAGAGTCCAGAGTACAAGCAGTTTCTGGTACAGGTGTGTGGGATCTGTCCCCTCTCACCTCTCAGCTGGCTTCTTTCCTCAACCCCATCACCTGTATGTAGGCTTCATTCACCAACTCATGGTGATATGGGCACCAGCCGCCCCAGGTCTCTGTCTCTCCAGGATCTACAGTATTAGAGATGAGGGTTTCTCTTCCACAGTGGTTCACTCTTGTGTCCCAGAGGCCACCTGGAACGATCCCATTGAGATTCTGGGTCCATTCCTGAAGCCATATTCTTGTGGATAAGCAGATGATATAGACCAGCCAGATGTAGGCTACAGACTCATCTTAAAGCCACAGTAAGCCACTTGGATCCATTCTAGGGAAGGAGGGTTCTCCAGTGGAAAACTGGGTGTGTGGCTAGGAGAGGGAAGGAATAGTGAGCTGAAGACCAGCAAATGTCTATATACTTCAGTCCATCTTTGCAGTCAGTTGTCCTGCTCCTTCTACATGGTCCTATTCTAGGTGCTGCTTCCTCCTCTTCTTCCTCCTCTTCCTCCTTCTTTGTCTTCTTATGTCTCCCTCCCCATCCTTTCCCCCTTTCCTCTCTCCTACTCTTCTTCTTCCTAATTAGTAACACTCTATCAGGGATCACAAAGGCCAGGTCAAATGCTTGGCAGTTGACTCTCATTTAAGCCTTGGGGTGATCATATGAAGTGCAGCAGCCTGCTTGGATTTGAACCTCAGCCCCTTCATCTTTCTCAGGGTGTGGCCTCGGACAGGTTGATTCCTCTCTGAACCTTGCTTCATCTATCAAGTGGGCACAGTGATGCTTTCTCATTGGGTGAGATTACAGAGATTGTGTTTGTGGAACTCAGTAGGCAGATGTGCTCAGCATTCAGTCTATTCGTCAATGAGGAAATGGAGGTTCTTGCAGCTACTAGGTAGCTGAACTGGACCTGGAGCCCAGGCTGTTTCATCCCATGAGTTTACCTACTCCTACCCCTTGTACAGCATCATCTCTCTGAGCACTTACCTTCCTCTGTGCTGGCTGCTCCTCCTGGCAGGACTCACCTTGGCAGACTGTGCTGAGTCTCCCAACATGGCACCAGCACATCTTTTCATTTCTCCCACATCCCAGGCACTAGGCTAGGTCCTGAGGAGACTAGTTCAGAAGAGGCATTTGATGGGGTAAACTGGGCAGCCCTGAGGTTGGAGGAATGATTCTCTGTGAAGATGAGTGGGCTCTCTAAGAGAGGGACCCTTGAATTATAGCTGCAGAGAGCACCTGGAGCTTGCTAGGCAGTGGAGGAGGAGGGGATGGAAACTTGATGCCTGTGAGACTAGGGAAAGTTCAAGGAGCCTAAGAGATATCCCTTGAGTGGAGTTTGATCAATAATGGTTTGTATTATCCTTGTTTCTAATGTGGAATCATTTATATGTTATTTGGTGGTGCAGTGGGCAATCTTGGAAGTCCTGAGCAAGTTACCAAGTGGTTGCAGGTACTCCAGGTATGACGTTTACCTTAATAGACAGCTTTGCAGAATTGAGATCTGCAAATATTTTGTCCCAAATAAGAACTTCAAGATTATCTTTTTAAATGTTATGTGTCTGTCATATTGTTAAGCAAATATTAAATGCCATTGGTTTGTAATTGTTTCCTCTCTTTCTCATAAACATTGTTAATGATTTGAGGTCTACAGTTAGACACCATCTGACCAAATAACTCTCTTTTACCATCTGGGAACTCCAGGAACAGAAGGACACTGGGATGTTTACAATAACCGAGAGGGGCCACGGAAGCAATGTAAGAGGGATCCAGACCGAGGCCACCTTTGATCTTGATGCTCAGGTGAGACATCTGTTGTTCTCTGTTCTGTTTCATGGTTCAAGGCAGCAGGAGTATGTACAGACCATCTTGTCCTTTCTGAGCCCAGCCTCACACCCTCTGCCTGTGCTCTGGCCAAGAAGCTCAGGCTCAGAACAGCATCTAAGTGTTTTAGAGGAGATGGATATAAGCTCAGCCTTCAGGAGTAATAGCAGCCAACACTTACATAATGCCTGTCACCAACTGGGTTCTGCTCCGAGCACTACACATGCGTTCTTAGGTAATCCCTTGTAACAGTTCCATGAGAGCAGCACTGGTGCCATGTTGTTTCCAGCGGTAGCAGGTGAAGGAGGGGAGAAGATGTCTTTGCCGGTATTGTTCATTGCACATGGCAGCATGCCCAGAGCCGAGGCTTCCCGATCAGGAGCCAAGTCCACCATGCTAGTGCGATGTCCCTCAGTTTTTATGGGGGATTTGTTCTAGGACACCTGTGGTGCTCAATCCACGGAGCTCAAGTTCCTTATATAAATAGCATAGTATTTAAAACCTAAACACGTTCTTGTAAACTTAAAATCATCTATAGCTGACTTATAGTACCTAATGCAATGTATGTGTTATGTATCTGCTAAAATGTATCATTTAGGGAATGGTGATAAGAAAACAATGCCTGTAGATAATCAATATAGACGTAAAAAAATTTCAGTGCACAGTTGGTTGAATCCAGGGATGTGAAACTCATGGAAATGGAGGGCTAACTGTGTTATTCAGTGTTTTTTTTTTTGGTGTGTGTATGTGTGTATAAATATGTGTGTATATGTGTGTATATATATGTGTGCATACACTATTATGCAAATTAATAAATCATAACCTTCATAAATTTTTAATTCCAGAAACAAAGAATATCCTGTAAAATGAAAAAAAAATATGTAAGAAGGTGGATATGCTGAGAATTTTTAAAAAGAACCTTCATCCCAGGGGTAGACTTGAAACATATAAGTACGTGGATTTATACTAAACCCTGGGATTCAAGA